TTAGAAAATTAATTTGATCAAGGGTCAATTAAGAGGATTTTTTATTTCTTCAAGTTCATCTCACCCCAATGTATGATTCTCCTTCAAGTTGTAGGAGCTTAGGAGCAATGTATTAAGAGTTTAGTTTTTACTGGAAAGGGGTTTCCAAAGCTATCTCAAACTAGATCAAGGAGGCTACTAGATGGATGGGGAAACTCATGGGACACTCACAAAGCACTCATGAAGCTCAAGGATCAAAAGTCAATAACCTAGCTTTAAGAAATTAAGAAGTATTTATAACTATTTTAGAATTGTATTAATACCAAATTTCAGTCATGAGAGGCATGGCCATTTAGTTAAGTTTGTTGGGGATAGTCTAATGAGGTGCCAATAGCTCATAGGAGGAGGTAGGAAACTTGTAATTAGTTTCTTATGAAGTTATCACTGAACTAATAAAATTGAATTAATTTCTAGAATTTGTCGATCAGCTCAAGTAGTGTTGAAGCAAGGATCTAGGATCCAAGAGAAGGGATACTATGGGTTGGCTTAGCCCAAGAGAATGTTAATTTTTTAAGCTTGTGTTAGCTTAATTGGCTAACCCAAGCTAGTCCATGGGATGAGCTCTCTAGGTTGACTTCATTGGACAGTTATGCATCTAATGCATGCATTGACCTAGGAAAATTTAATTTATATGATGATTTGACTCATCTAAACCACTTTGGGTTCATTTGGGTTTACTTAATTGGCAACCCAATTGGGTTAAAGGGATGGGTTGGCTTGGCCAAACCCTTGAGCACCCCAAGGACCTGTTTGCGAGACTTTGAGGCCAAGAGTCCCATGGATTTATTGGAATTAAAGGAGGAAAGCCATATGGGCATTTAGGTCAACTTAAGTTGACTTGATGAATAAGGGTAGACCAAGCCCAAGGAATGGGTCCAAGGGCTTGTAAATTATTTATGTGATTTCGTTGAAAAGATTTTAGGCCAAACAATGGTTACACATGATTAAATGTATAAAATAATATTTCAAGTCAAAAATAACTTTAATGGTGGTTTTGGTCAACCATGATCAACCACGGCTCACTATGGGCTCCAATGCACACAATCATGTTAAAGTAAGGGGGGTTAGAAAGTTTAGGATGATGAATTGGCATGATTTGTTTGGTTTTTTGTTTTTTTAAATGAATTGGCATGACTTGATTTACATTATAAGCATGATTTAGGGCTTTAGGTAGAATGGACCCCATATGGTCAAAATGACCATTCATGTTTAACCAAGGTTAACCATGGTCCATTTAGATTTAGGCATGTTTAAGGATGATATAGGAGGCCTAGAGATCAAGCCTAAGGCTTGGGGTAAAGTTTACAATATATATATATATATATACACAAAATATTTCATGCTTATAATCATGATTTAGGGTTTAAGGGTTCCATTAGTCAAACTTAGTCAACCCATGTCAACCATGGGCCCTAGTAAGTTTAAATAATTTTATTAATTATGTACAAGTTTAAACCATTTCCAAGGGTCTAAAATGATGTCTGAACAAAGACACCACATTGAGTGGAATGGAATGCAAATATTTGAAGGTTTGAACATTTAGGCTTAAGGCTTTAGGTTAGGGTTTGAATTGGAATGAAAGCTTCCAAAGTTCACTTAGGAGACTCTAAGGAGATGATATTTCAATGGATGATTGGCTAAATCAAGTTCCACGGGATTTCACCGAGGATTCTATAATGGACTATGGCTTCCTATGGAAATAGGAATACTACCCCATATGGTTAGAATATGGGTTTGAATGTAGTTTAGTTTGATGATAAAAGATAATTGAAATTAATTCTTCAATGATTAAAGTTTAATGATTGAATAATTGAATTTGATTAAATGATTGAAAGATTGCGCTTAATCGAATGATTAAATGTTATGGAAAGATTGAACTAGATTTAATGGTTGAACCAAATTGAAATGAACTTAATGATTGAATCAACATGAAAGAACATGATGACTAAAAGTGATTAAATTAAATTTAATGACTAAACACCATGATTGAATCTATTTATTTGAATGAACATGATGATTTAAAATGAGTGAAGATTTGACCTCATATAAAAATGAGATCAACAACAGGTGAAGGTAAAGTGGCTATAACTTCGATATTTTCTTAATCATAAGCAGCAGAGAGAGGATGAAATCAACTACCTCATAACAAAGGAGTAGGGGAAATTTCATGCTTATCATATTCCCATTAAGATGACAAGTAATTCTTCAATCAACAACTTTCTTTTTCGAGTCTCTATCTCATGTGAAAATTCTTATTTCTCCTTTGTGTCTTTGTCATTGACGAAGCAATAGTGGATGAAGACTAAATTTTAAAGGTGCTTGGAGCTACAAAAGGGGCAACAGACTTGAAACTACTACAAACTTCAATTTTTAGAAGCAAGCTTGGAAAACATAATCTTGAAGAACACACAAGGTTTAGTGATTGCGAAAGCAACAACAAACCCACCTTCAACAGTGTTCACTGGATTAGTTTCTTATCCTTTATCTCAACTTACATAACAATAATGAATTGTGGGCCATTAGCTGTCATCATTAGATCATCAAATCCAAATTCAAACATAATTAGACTCAGATCAAATAGTTGTGATTGGTTTTGGGTAAGGTTAAATTTGTCAGAGAAGTTGAAGATCAGTTTGCCAACCATTTTCTCTGAATACAAAAGCAGTTATGTATCAACCTTCTGAGCTCACTGCTTTAAGCAAGATATTTGACTCTAAAAAAGAATTGAACTGATCAGAACAGATTACATTCCATAATAGGTGTAATGAAGCAACAAGTTTTAAATTTGGAGAATTTGATAAACGGATCCGATCTAAATAAATACATTAAGCTACATGATGAATTATAACCACGATGTATCAATCAATAATTAGATGAATTTGTATAAGAACCTTTTGATGATTTGGTATACATTAGATTTCATAATATAGCCCGCTGAATTTTCATTCAACAAGTAGTTCTTAAAACCCAAAAGTCTTCACAAAAAGATTTAAGTAATAAAAGGATATTTGTATACAAGTTTAAATGCTCGATCACAGTCTTTCAAAGATGAAAGGAGTAATATAACCGACAAAAGAAAGGTAGTTTAAACCTATTATTAAAGAAAGTGTACTACCAATGTAAAGTATTAAGTCACCACAAAAGATGGGGAGTTGAACATCCCAACAAAGTCGTCAGAAAAAAATTGTAGGAAAATAAACTACTACTGGATTTTGAAAATTATATTTCTATAATTAAATATAGCATAAAAAATAATATATTGTGTCGAAAGACAAAATTAATGTTCAACTATTAATTTTAAAAAAAATAAAATAACATTTTTATGGTCAAATTTAGCATAGAGAATATCATACTATCTCGAAAAATAAAAACAATATTCATCCATTGATTTCAAAATAAAAATGAATTTTAAGAAAAGTGTCTACAATCCTTAAAACTTTTTTACTATTTTAGAGAAATTAAAATAGGGTTTATTTTATGCTAAAGTTTTAAGTTCCTTATAAAATTAAGCGCATATTGTTAATTTCATCTCAAGAGAAGCTCTTAAAAATCAACAATTTTCAACAATCATCAAAGCATATAAAAGAAAAGTCCATCCAGCAAATGTAATTTCCAATACAGCAAAGAATATGCCAAATTAAGCTGCACTACTACCCCTCCGCACTCGTTCTTTGGGCATCTTCAATAGTCTCTGTTATCATCTCCTACATCTCCGTTAAACTACACCAGTTAATGTAATTGTTGTCTGTCTTCGATTATGGCTTAGGAACACTAATCTCATTAGAATGTGCCCTTTTTCTTGTCTTTCACTCGCATCAATTCACGCTCGCAACATTTTTACAGATGTTAAATCAAACTTTATTCACGGCAATACTAAAACTTTATAGGTAAGATTGACTATGAAAAATAGAAAACAAAAAAGAAAGGGAGGGACAGAAAAAAAAAAGTGAAACACTATTTTTATTAAAGATGCTATGACAATTAAGGCCTTTGGGTTGCCCTGTAGCCCTCACAATTACAAGCGAGTAAAGACAATACAACAACAACATCAAATATTTATCCCAATACATGAGATCAACCACATGAATCATTTTCACCGGTCCTATTAAAAATCAAATTCTTATTTAAATCTATTAAAGAAAGATAATTTTTAAAATTTTCTAACCAAGATTTTTAAAGTCTACCTATACCTTTCTTAACATAAGTCAAATCTAATACATCAACTTTCTTGACCGGGTCATTAGAAGGCCTCCGTTTAATGCGCTCAAACCATCAAAGGGGTCTCTCTTTAATCTTATCTTCCACTAGAGCTACTCCAACCTTTTCACATATAAGCTCATTTCATATCCTCTCTCTAAGGGTAAAGCAACTCATCCACCTAAACACAATGCTAAAAAAAAAAAAAAAGAAACTTAGTAAAAGATTAAATGAATTATTTAGTATAACCAACTAAAACTTTACTTCTAAATAAAAATGTGTTAATTATACATTAATTATTTGAGAAGTACCTTTAAAATTGTCCAAGTAAAAGATAAGCTCAAATGCAATTAATAGGTCTAATCCGATTTGATTGACCTTTAAAATAATCTTTTAACTACTCAAGTTAACTCGAACTCAACAAGAATATAAACAAAAATAACTCAATTTAAAATGAATTTTCAAACGTATTTAAAAAGATTAAAAAAAAAAAATTAACAAATTATATGCGAGGCCAGATTTTTCCATCGCTCGTTTATTTGACTAGCATAGTTAGACAACACTCCTGCCAGTTTACACCGAATACAACAAGACTGATAAGGTATTTTATAATTTTTCTTCTGTAGCTAAAATACCAACAAGTTGTGAAAAAAATAAAATTTACTGAAGAAATAATTCATTCTATTATCCTTAAATATAAACGGGCAAAATTTTAGAGGTGTAGTTAAAAATTTAATAATACATTAAAAAAAAAAAAAACAAACAAACAAACTAGAATATACATAATTCCTAAATAAATAAGAATAGCTAAATAATTTGACAACATGAAAAGCACATTAACAGCGGATATGCATAGTCCTATATATATATATATATATATAATATTTCAGGGTGTCAAAATGGGCAAATTATTGCATCCGGTCACCGGACACGCAAAATAGGTTCGGACATTTAATAAAAACATGTCACGTCACCTGTGCTTTTGACTGCGCTTTAGGTGCGCTTTGACTGCGCTTTACCTGCGCTTTTGACTTCGCTTTTACCTGCGCTTTACATGCGCTTTACCTACGCTTTTCCTACACTTAATTTAAAATAATATTTTATTAATATCCGAACCTATCTCCGCGTTCGGTGACCGGATGCAATAATTTGCCGTCAAAATGAGAGATCATATAATTGGGAAAAAAAATAAACGAAATTGTTAAGCAAGGAAAAAAAATAATTATGAAATTATTAAATAATGAACAATTAATATAACAGCAGCAGGAAGCATGAACGTCTAGAAGCCAGGCAAAACTGAGAGATCAGCAATCCCTTTGGGTAGATCTGCAATTCTCTTCAGAAGCGCAAGCCTGTTATTCCTGACCCTCAGATCATCCTGCACATTAAAATCGAAGTTTTTCTGATCATTTTATTGAATTGGTTTGGAAAATTGGGGCAGCTTGATATAGGAAAGAAACATACATGTTAAAGAAGCTCACTCACAAATAATACCAGCTCTATCTTGACTCACATTCAAAAGAGAAAATAGAATGATTCATTGAATACTTTATAAATAAATTCATAAATCACAGTCAATAGCTGGGAATTTAGCTCCCTTCAACTTCTGGATGATCAAGAAATGAACCCAAAAATGTGCGAATCATAGCATGCCTATGCTATTTTCTTGTGGATATGTTAATGAATATGATAACTACATGTCAGCCTTGGCTTGTATGCAGGTTATTTTGCCTTATTGCTTTACTTTAAAACTAATATAAAAAAACAAATATTATGGGGATGATGGAACATGACTGCGAACGTTATATCCAAGCTAGGTGATTTTATTTCTAATTTTGCTCAAATTCTTTGCACAAGCTCGCAAAAATTCATTAGGAGTCTAGCTGCCAAAATAAAAACCTCCTGCTAAGGCACGAAGATAATGAGGGGATCCAACTCGTCATCCTTTGGAAAATGGCAACCACTGGCCCAGTTTAGATGCATCGTAGTGATCTCTTAAGAAACAATCTGAACGAGAAGGCCTTCACCATCCTTTCATTCTCTGTACTCAAAACGAATTTCTGTATTCAACCACAAAACCTACGGTCAGGAAGGGTAATAAAGACAGATTTGCTCTGCTTTTTTTTTTCTTAAACTTTCACTCCATAATTTTTTTTCAATTCTTTTCTCCTATGATCTTTTTCTATGTTTTGCTTTCACGTGCCGATGACGGCAAGAGGTTACCAATACCATCATATTTTATTAGAATATAACATTCTATTTCTTGCATTTGAGCAAAAAGGAAAAACTTAGAAGTGTTAAAAATTGCAACCTAGTTCGAGTCAAACCTGATATTGACCCGTTGATGTTTGACACGACCCGAACCTGACCAGTTTTTGCAAACGGGTCTGAAATTTTAACCCAAACCCAGCCGGGTTACAAGATTGACCCGACCCATCCTGATTACACACCATCCAAGCCTTAAAAATCTCAACTTTTCTTCTCCATTGAACTCTTCCAGCACCTCAAGGTCGTCCACCTGCGCAACCATAAAGACAAATATCTCCTCGGCGAAGACAATTGAGGAGCGCATTTGTCAAAACCGCAACGGCACCGCGTGGCAGGCACGATGGAAAGTAGAACTTGTCGATGAAGGTGATCAGCCCCTTATTAGCCTCAAGAGTTGCTATGACGAGTACCTTTCCGCTTCCAACGAGCCATTGCTCCTTGGCGTCACCGATTGCAAGATCCTTCAAGCGAGTCGCCACCTTGATTCCAATCGAAACAGAGCATAAATTATGGGATTTTGCAATCAATGACTTGATAACCTTAACAAACAAGTATTCTCGTCCAATCCACAAAAGTTAATCTTTTAGTGGTTCTCCTCAGACATCTCATAGCATGACAATTAACTATATGTTAGCAAATGGCTATGTCAAATCTGATACATCTACTTTTCTAACTGAGTCAAACAAAGCATTAATGCACTTCACTTGCTATAAATCCTTACTATTATCTCTTTATTTTACTAATTTATAAATATATCTTTCACCGTCTTTAATATCTAATCTATTATATAAATCATTAAAAACAAAAAATCTTTACATCGCAGATTGCTTTCTCAGACTCTGCAAAACCCAAAAATACCATTTTAGGTCGTCGCACGCTTTTCAAAGCGCCACGACGAGATTTAATTGAGATTTTTAATGTTAACGAAATTCAACGGAAATAATTTTAGAAAATCCTACGCAAAATTCTGATCGTTTTGGAATATATCACTTATAACTAATTTTGCCTATATACAAAATTAAAATTTAACGAAGTTTCATAATACCAAAACTACCTTAACCATTTAAAAGCCTAAATTTATTTAAGGGCATTCTGGACTTTTAGCAAACCAAAATTCTCTTATTAGGCATAACCGAACCCTCCCCCTCTCATTCTTTCGCACGAACGGCGGACCGAGCGGAACGAAGGCTAGGGGGCGGACGGCTAGGGCTCGACGGCTTCTCTCCGGCGAAATTTTGAAGGGAAATTGAAGAGGAGATCAAGGGAAGAAGAAGGTATGTTTTAGATTTTCATTTCTCCTCTTAAATCTAAAGTTATTTGAGAATGAATTTCTAGGATTTTTCTAGAAAGTGCTTTTCTTCCAAAAATCTCTTTAAGAAACCTTTAAGGAATGATTAGGGAAACATTTTAATAGTAGAAACGATATTTTTGGAAGAATTTTTTGGATATTTAAAAATTAGGGTTTTTGATCTAAAGTTTAATTTCGTAAAATACCTTTACGAAAATGATTTCTAAGGATTTTGGGAATGATTTTAAAGCGAAGATTTTGATTTTAGTGGAAAACTCATTTTTTGTAATTTTCCTAATTTAATTAATCAGAAAATTTATAATATAATTATAATTATGTGTTTAGGAATGTTTTTAAAGCATTACATTGATAAAATTGTAAATTATGACTTTCCAAAAATTTAGAGTTAATTTAAATCCGAAAATTTATATTAATTTAATAAAAAAATTCATTAAGCATATTAAGAAATAGTTAGGGGAAATGAAAGATTTAAACTTAGGATTTAGATTATTAGATGTATGACACATTTATTTTGTAAATTTATTAGGTTGTGATCATTAAAGGGTGAGGTGGAAGAATTGTGTCGAAGCGACGTACCGTACTTGATTTGAGGTAGGTGTTCATACCTCATTTAAGTTTATAAGTGCAAAATTTATTTATGCTTAAAAAGAGATTTTATGCATTTATTTTACTGTCAAAATGCTTTATTTACTGTCAAATATTTTAAATCTATGATTTAAAGAATACCCTTAAATTTTATGTTTTCATTTCATGCATTATTTTAGAAAGCATATAAAGCATATGAAAAATACTGAACATGGAATATATGAAGTTTATGAAAGATAATTGAGCATAATTGAAAGATTTAAAAGCAATAACAATTTCATGTGCATGTTGATCCAGAAGTGCCAAAATGGTAATGATAAAGGGGCTTACAAAAGCCAAATGATAATGGGGTTCTACGGAGCCAAATGATAAAGGAAATGACCAAAAATTTGACTGCGTATATGATCAGTACGAATAAGGGTACTTCCGGGATGAGTTTTACATTTAGCATTAGTATTTTTGTATTTGCATTGCATATAAAAAAGGTGAAAGTAAGAATGAAAAGAATGAAATGTTAAAAAAGGAAAAAAGAAAAGTAAGAATTGAAATTCAAATGATTTTTATTTGCAAATGATATGAAATGATTTAAATTATAAATGTTTTTGTTATATACATCTTATAAAATTAACTGAGTTATGAATTACCTGCTGAGCGAGTAAGCTCATCCTACTTTTGGAAATATTTTTCAGGAGAGAAGTGATGGCTGCACGACGACCGTACACGTATCGTCGTAGGAGACCTCAGGATGAAAGGTTCCTTGTTATGATTTCAGTTTGAGTCTTTGAATTTATTTGTGTAGTTTGTGAGTTTAAATTTGTACTTGTGTTTGATTAGTAATATGGAGTTTATGTAATTGATGAATTAAAAGTTTTAACAGTGTATGAGAAGAACAGTTTGGAACATTTCGGGATGTCTTTAGTGGCTCTTTCATTTAATGTTGGATGACATTTATGTACTGATGTTAAAATTATAATGAATTTGATTATGTTTTATATGCTCTTTCGTACGACCGACTGTTCCCGCCCCGTTATAAACAGGCTTGCCGGGCCGGGTCGTGACAGACTCCTTACAGCTCCTCTTTATATCTTTTCCAATTTTTAGAGTTTTTACATATAAATCAATTTTTATAACAAATCTTTTTCTTTCTTCTTTTCTTACACATTTTGATTCCACCACCAATATTTTTATTATTAAAAAATTTTCCTTTTGATACTCCAACCACATCCTTTGCTACATTATTAATATTACTAGCTAATTTTCTCACATAACATTAGTTATGTCATGTATAAACAAAATCTTAAGATCTTGAATCTTAATCTCAAAAAAAAATTTATTGGTGTTCTTTCGTAACATG